TTTTGTTACTCTTGTGACCGAATGGAATTTATTTTTGGATGGCTTGTGGCTAGTATATAAGGAGTGTAGCCGGTGTGGTGGCTCGTATCTGTAATCCCAGCACTTTGGGAAGCTGAGGCAGGCTGATCGCTTGAGGTCAGGAGTTCGAGACCATCCAGGCCAACATGGTGAAACCCCATCTCTACTAAAAAAAAATACAAAAATTAGCCGTGCACAATGGCATGCGCCTCTAATCTCAACTACTTGGGAGGCTGAGACAGGAGAATTGCCTGAACCCAGGAGGCATAGATTGCAGTGAGCTGAGATCGCGCCACTGCATTCCGTCTGGGCAACAGAGAGAGACTCTGTCGAAAGAAAGAAAGAGAGAAAAATGGAGGGAGAGGGAGAGAGGGGGAGAGAGGGAGGGAGGAAAGAGGGGAGAGAGAGGCAGTTGATTACAGATTTTGTCATATGCCTTTCTAAATGTTTAAATTAATTATTGTGGGTTTCTTATAGGGTCCTTAGAATTACTGACACACAAGATCATGTTAGCTGCATGTAATTTTAACTTCTTCTTTTTCAATCTATATATCTTTGTATTCGCTGCACTGAGTAGATATGAGATATCATTGTCTTCTTCAGATCTTCGGTGGGGAAAGCATTCAGTCTTTCACCATTATTATGATATTAGTTGTATATTAGTTGTAGGCAGTCACGTTAGAAAGGAAAGATTGTTTCAAAACTGAAACACTTAATGTATATTATTAATAGAGTAAAAGACTAAAGCGCACATGATTATCTCAATCCATACAGAGAAATCATTTGACAAAATCCAACACATCAGTGATAAAAGCAAACAAACAAAACTCAAAAACTGTGCATCAAGAGGAGGGAATAGCGGCTATATTATACTATAGTTATATAGTAATTAATAGTGGAAGACGGATGTTTTTTTCCTTTGTAAAATCTGGGGACAAAGCGTTAACGTCTGCCCTCACCACTTCTATTTAACTCTGAACTGGAAGTTCTAGCCATATTGTTTCTCATTGTAGTGTTTATGCAATGTATTTTGGAGCATGTGGAAGTATTAAGGGAAAATAACCCCAACTCCTTTTCCTATCATCTAGAATTATCACTGTTAGCATTGTGTTCTCCTTCCCCTCAGTGTGGTGTGTATATATGGGTGTGGGATAACACACTAAAAAACAAATTTGAGATCGTATTTTATGCTTATATCTCTGACCTAATGTCTTACCATTTATTTCCTTGCTCATTACTACCTACTTTGGTCATCTCTCAGTTTCTTGCGGAGGCACGTCCTTTGCATATGCTATTTCTTTTATTGGAAATTCTCTCTACTTTATTCTTTGTATGACTAGGACCTTGTCTGCTTAAATGTCATTTTCTCAGGGAAGCTTTTCCTATCCCTTATCACTTTATGTAAAGTAGCTTCCTCTCTACTTCTTCCTTTGTTTAAAATCTTCAATTTTTTTATTTTTTATTTTTTGTTTTCTTCTTGCCTCTTTCCCATGGGAACTGCGTTTGTCATATTCATGCTGTAATTCCAGCACCTAGCATAGTGTCTAGCCTTCTAATATGTTTGGCAATTTGTTCAACTCAGATGAATAGTATCCTGCTTTCTTAGCATTGTATTCTGATAATTTTACCCACAATATTAAATACTCTTTGAAAACATTTGTTTTAATGATTTCATAATATTTCACAATGTAATTATGATGCTATTTAAACATCTTCTTCATTAGACATGCTTTTGTTGTGATTCAAAACACATCTGGCATATTCAGTTTCACTGACTTGGACTGAAGGCTAATTTACCCATTTATTAATATAGGAAAACTTTTAAATATTAATGTTAGAGGAATTTCTTTTGTTGATTTTATTTAAATATTCTTTTAATTTATCTTTTGTGTGGTTATATATTTGTCTCAAAAGGAGTATAATAATGTTTTAGTACAGACCAACCATTAACATAAATAATTTGTAGTTTCCTCATCTACAAACTGAAGATAATAATAATCACCTTATAGGTTTTTTTTTTTTTAAAAAAAAGATTATATCTGTAAAAGGCTTATTGTTATGTCTGAGACATAGTAATTGCTCAGTAAACCATAGTTATCATTACCTGTTAAGTCTCTCGGTTCTGGGAATGTGACAAAATATCAGATACAAATTGTGGGCTTGGAATACTTTTAACTCTTTACATGGAAAATGTGGGTCCATTAACTTCATATGCTAGTACCAAATGTCTTGCATTACCTGAATTCAGACCACTGTAGATGAACAGTAGTAAAGAATAATCAGAATTTATGTTCCAGAGAACTGCCAAGGCCCTGTCTTTTTCCAAAATAATGGGATTTGAATTCTGCCTCAGCCTCTTATTAGCTTTGTGACTTGCGGTAATTTAAATTCAGTTTCCTCATCTACAAACTGGAGATAATAATCACCTTAATAGAGTTTTTTTAAAAGATTACATCTGTAAAAGGCTTATTGTTATGTTTGAGACAGTAATTGCTCAGTAAACCATAGTTATCATTACCTGTTAAGTCTCTCAGTTCTGGGAGTGTTGGTAAGGGTAGGAGCTATAAGGATTCCTTATGTGTCATCAGCAGATAATGGCCAGCTCATTAATAATGTTTCTCTAAGTTGGGCACAGTCGTGCACACCTGTACTTCCAGCTACTTGGGAAGCTGAGTTGGGAGAATCAACTAATAATAATAATGTTTCTCTAAAGATATTTTCTTTTATCCTTTTCAGGAGTGGGTAGTTTTCTTTATAAAATATGCCAGCTTGTAGGGTTTCTTATCTATATACCTATACCAAAAAAAGATTTAGCCCACCAGTTCATATTTTAAAGTTCCACTAGTAAGTTAGATTCTTTGACTTCAATTCATAGATTACTGTTTGCAGCATTTTTAAATATAGTTATGATTACTTTCTTGTTCCAGCTTTAAAGTAAAAGGTTATAATCTTTTGTTAAGAAGGAAAAAAGGTAATTGATAATTAAACAATTAAATTCTACTGGAATTTCAGTGAGTTAGTAGATAATGTTGACAAGAGGAAGTTGGGCTTTCCTTGAGTATTGCTTCAGAGAGTGGGGATTGGAGACTTCAGAAATTCCCAAGGTCCCTGCTGCATTCTAATAGGAGTACTAATGTAATTGCAAATATGGTTATTGTTAAATTGACCTGTGAATCACTTCCTTCTAGGTAGACATAAAGAGGGCAAGTGATTCTTTCCTACTCTTCCTAGAATTGAGTGAGTCCAAGATCTATAATTTGGGGCATATGACTTAACCAGTCATGCTCAGTATCTGTTGCTCCTGTATAAAATGGAATCTCTGGTCATTTCACTGAGTTGTGAAAATCAAACACAGTCATGTCCATGAAAGCGTTTTATAACTGGTAAAGCATCACTCACTCAATTATGCTCCCATTCATGTGTCAGCCTGGCTCTTTCTCATAGCTACTTGGTAGGGTGTTGCTGGTGGCCTTGTGATAGCCCAGAATTACATCTGTAATGTTCACTGCCTCTTAGGAGTTTTATAGTTTTATTAGGGAGTGGACAGTTTTAGTTTTTTCCTACTAATATGATTAATTTGTGTTGTTTATTAGAAAAGTAATATGTACGTGTTTACTGTAGAGAAATTAGAAAATAAATATCAGCAAAAATAATAATTACCTCTAAATGCAGAAATACTGCATTTACTTTTGTTTAAAACAAAAATTCAATTAAGCTGAAATGTTTCCCGTTTTTATCACTTAATATAGTATATAATTTCATATAATTTAATTTTCTTGTATAATATTTTAATGACTACATAATATTCCATGATGTAATATGCTATAGTTTATGTAACTATTTCCTGTTTTTTATTTTGACATTTTATGGCTATATACAATGCAGTGCACAATATAATAATATGTATTTTGAACATCCTATGGCTAAATATTTATACCTGTCCTCCATGATTTTTTAAAAATTAGGATAAATCTTACACGTGGAATTGCTGCATCAAGGGACATATAACATGTTAAAGCATTTAATTTTTGTTACAGTTTTATCGAGGTATAATTGATCAATAATAAACTGTACATATTTAAGATATAGTTTGACAAGTTTTGACATATGCGTACACCTGTGAAACCATCATTACAATTAAGATAAAGGTTCTTTGAAGCCCTACCCTTTGGCATCCTTCATCCCCAGGCAGCCCCACTGACCTGTTTTCTTTAATGATAGCTGAATGTGCATTTTCTAGAATTTTATCCAAATGGAATCATACAAAATATGTTTCTTTTTTATCTGGATCCTTGCACTCGGTAATTATTTTGAAATTCATCCATATTTATTTTACATATATGTGTGTGTATTCTGTTTGTTACTGAGTAGTAAAATTATATGATATGGATATACCATATAATTCATTCACCCATTGATGGGCATTTCAGTTGTTTCCAGTTTTTGACTTTTAAAAATAAATCTTCTTTGGACATTGTTGTGTAAATCTTCTTATGGATATAGGGCATTTGATATTTCTTACCAATTTTTTTGCTGCAAAGATTACATACTTGGTATTTTGAAACTGAAAAAGTTTCATATAAGAAAATCTAGAGCCACTCTTTTTTTTTTTTTTTTTTTTTTTTTTTAGAAATACATCTTTAGGAGGATTTATAATTTTTGGATGTAAATTAATGTAGCACAGCACACTAAGAAATTTGAAATTAGTGAAGTTTAATAAACCCATTCTAGCAACTATAAGCCTTTTTTATGGCTTATTTTGTTGAAGCAGCTACTTTTATTGATTATTATCTGGAAAGCAAAGACCTGTTACGTTCCGTTAACGAACCAGCATTCATGAACAATTGATATTTTTCTGGCAAATCACTACTTTTGCATTGAATTTGAACAAGAAAATGAGTGGGATAAGTTGAACTTCATCAAAACATATTCCAGAATCTGGTTTGGAATAGATACCAAACTATCTTTTCCCTCTTGTTAAGATGCACACTTGACTGAAGGAGGACGGGGAATCTGAAGACTCCAGATGACCTCAAAGCTACTTTTCAACAGCCTTCTCAGTTTCCTTTCTCAGAAAGCAGAGGCTTAAAGCCTGGAGACAGATGGTGAGAATTTTTTTTCCTGAGTTCTTAAGGCTTAATCATTATGACTTTAATATATTTCAGACAATTATTTCTCAGTTATAAATTAGCTTATAATTCGAAATGTTATATGCTTCATCTGTGCAAGTTATTTCGTCAGGCAGTATGGTTTAAAAAATGAGTAAGATACAACCCTTCCTTTAAGGAACTTATATGGAAAGGATAAATGTAAATAAATAAATGTAATCTAATAATAAAAGAGGTAAATCATGTAAAAGAAATGTAGAAAAATATTCTTGAGAATTCAATGTGTATATTACTTCTGGAGAGAGGAATTGGGAAGCTTGAAAGAAGAAAAAGCATTTTTGTTGATAATACTTAATTTGTTTTTATCAAAAACCAGAGAAAATCGACAGTTAATATAAAGCCTGAAATAGCAATCCCTGATTTCAGATAAAAAGTTAATTACCGTTTTGAGGAAGGATAGAAGCATGTTTGATTATTGTGCGTTTATTATAGTATAGGCCAGTGATTACTTTTAGAATTATGTAAAATTCCTCTTACAAAGGAAAGAGCATTATTAGCATTTCTGAGAAATGATAAAGTAATTGGATTAAATTAACACAAGTAGGTGGGCAGAGCAACAAAGGAGACGATGAGTGAGTGGTTAATTCTACTTGGATTAACACTCCTGTTTTCTAGTAAAGCTACAACCTAAATGAATTCCTCATGTCTTAAGCTCTTGGACCTTATGCTGCTGATTTCTGGGCAGTAGGAATCAAAGGGAACTAGGTAAAGGCATCATGATTGATTATGGTGCTCATAATCATTTGTGAATAGTTCAGTTTCGTCTAGCTAACTGAAAAACTCTGGTCACAGAGAGAGAGCAGATACAGCATGCTAAAATTCACCGTGTTTTAACTGACCACAGTGTTTCAAAAAGGGAATGGCAGCTCTGAGCCAAATTTGCCCTTTACCTGTAGGCATCCACAAAGATGATCCTAACTGCTTTTCCTTCACTATCCTGATAATGTTCAGAAAACCTAGTAATGAAGTTATTTTAATCACCTACTTACATGCTTAATTTTTCTTGTAATTTTATCAAGAAAATCTTTAAAACATTAATTTTTAAAAGACTGCATAAAATGACTAATAATTATTTGGTTGCAAGTCACTTTTCATATATTCATATATTTTTCACCTCTAAATTAAAATTTAAAATCAACTTGGCAATTATTTGTAAATACTAAAAGTGTTTTTATTCAGATATAATTAGGTGCTAATCACTGGTTGGTAGTCTGAAATCTGCTTCTATATTTGATGAAACAGTTGATATTGAACCCCATTTCTGAACTTCTAATTTTGTTAAAGTTAATTTTATAGTCATGCATATTACTGTGACCCCTCCCCCCCCACAAGATATAATTGGTTTGTCGTTGTTCTTAATTTGTCAACACCTTTGTTTTACCTCGTAACCAGAATAGTGTTCACTTACGAGAGTTAGATAAGTAAATTATAGGTAGCCATCTGGTAAATATGCACAGAATGAGTTGTTCATAGAAAATGGTCAAATTTAGATTTTTCTTCCAGATTAAAAAAAAAAAGACATTATAATGTACAGTGAACAACTTTGAAAACTAAAAATTCATAAAAACAAATTATTAGTAGTGATTTTCTGTATTCCTTTCATATATTTAAAAATACTTTTAGATTTTAAAGATGATATGTCAAATGTTTTTTTTCTAAAATGTGTTGTGTTAAATAGGTTTTCATTTTGAATGAACAGTCCTTGGGCAAATAAGCTTGGGAGATGTTGGTCCAAAGTATAGAATGTCTTTTCAGTAAGCCTTTCATTAACCAGTGGACTGTGTCTCCAAAAGAAGGATCTGGTATATTTCTGGAGATGAGTATTTGATGAGTTGAGGATTGTAAACTAATATGTTTTATGAGGTTTTTGCTATAGTTTGTTATACTCTGCAAAACACTCATGTTATATTTTTAAGTATAGTTATATTTTTTTGAATGAAAGCTCAAAGAGAATGGGGAGAAAAGGGATGTAATTAATTGAGTATTGCAAGCTATATAAAGAATGAAGTGTTTAAAAAGGCTTTTAGTGTCTTAGGGCATATTCCCCTTGCTCTTTGTTGGCTTCTTCTTTTGAAAAACATACAGTCATCATATGGAGTAACTAACAAAGTTAATTCATCCTTTATTATGTTTTATAGGACTTCATATACTTTCTCTGCTATTTAGCTCAGTGTATAATATTTGTTAGGTAATTTTGATAAAAATTGCTGATACAAAAACAGGGGCTATCTTGTGTAGAGTCAGCTAAACGACCATAACTCAGTTTAGCTTAAACACTTGAATATGCTAATTTTCCCTCTAATGAAATTGTTGTTATATGTCATGATTTTCCACTGGGAAGAGTTCTAGTTTGATTAAAAATTTGACGACTATTTTAGTAGATGTCTTGAGTTTAAAACTCATGTCAGACATAGAGGTATCTATATAATTTTTTTTTAAAGGCCAGCACTGATGGGTTGGGTTACCAGATTGATAAAGTAGGTGAATTATATACATGGAATGCCTTGCCAACTTCATAAAACATTCCTCAAAGTCATAGTTTTTTGTTTAAGAAATAACTCTTTGTAATATGTGTTTAAACTTTCACATTAGATTTTTAGTAGGAACATGAAACTGGTAAAACCAAGATCAATTTATAATCTAGGTAAGTTGTCTTAGTTGGAATTAATTGCCGTAAATCAATTTGGATTTCTCACTAGTGTTTTCCTGGCCTTGTGGATAACGTCGGTAAGAAAATCTGTATGCTTGGCTCAAGTGAGTCATTGTTAGTTTCCAGCATTGCTTTCATCCACTCTTAATTTCCTTCCTCACAGCCAACCATGTTAGTTCAGAGTCTTATCGTTTCTCATCTGGAGCTCTTGTGCTGGCAAGCCTCTTTACTAACATCCTTGTCCGAGTCTCTCACAACCACCAGCTCTTCCTAAAACTCCAGCTTACTTGTGTTACTTGTCTGATCAAAAATAATGTAATTGCAGTAGCATAATGAGCATGGAAAAGTAATAGACCTTCTTTAATCCTAACTTACTGTTACTATGGGAAATATTAATATAATTAACATATTTTTGGAATTTGTTATCTATAAAGAATTGACTTTTCTTTAAGTGTTTTACTTAATATCTTAATTGATATAACTTATATTCTTTGGGGAGGAGGATCCCTGCTAGACTAAGCCTCCATATCAACTTAGATTTTATAAAATTTCTATATTCTAAGCTTCCCATATCAACTCAGGTTTTTTTCCTCTTCCATGAAGGGTTTCAGATGAAGTAGTCAAAATAATTTTAAAAGTGTTGATCAAACTCTCAATACACTTTCTCTTCTTACACAGACCCTGGTCTTTTTTCACTGTAACTAACTGATGTGAACCTGATAGTCTCCTTGATTCCCTGCTACATTTGCCCTTCAACAATGTGGCCTGCGGTTTGCATATCTGAAAATTGTCCGATTCTAACATCAGAGCTTATGTATTTTATTTAGATAACTAGAATTTCTCCATTCTGGATTAGAGGTATATGAGTAATTTCCAAACCTCATTTGCTTCCTTTTTGCTTTTTTTATTAAAAAAAAAAATGTTTATAGCACAGTCTATGTAAGCTTCTAGCTTGAAGCTTTCTCTCTTGGTATTGCTGCTCCTCCCCACCTGCCATCTTGCAGCCTGTCCTTCAAGCTAGTACCTCTCAAAATGTCTGCAATAAAGACCAATGACTTGTTTGTGCGTTTTGATTTTATTTTTTATTTTTTAGTAACTCACTTTTGTCTTTTTAAAAAGCTTCTGTGACAGATTAGAAGTTTTTTTAAAGACTACAAAATCTAAGTCCACATCTTTCATCAATGAATTTAATTATCTATAACTTTTATAGAACATGCCATCAAATTATTTTGTCATGTTCTATAACAGTTTGTCATTACCGGCGGTTTTTGTTCTTGGAGGTGATTAAAGTTTCTGAAACATACTCTGTGCCACTGTGCTTCCTGGACTGGGCTGGGCTGGGCTGATGGTCCTCCCACTTTCTGAAGAAGACCAAAGCTTCTTTTCCAGGTGGAAAAGCCTTGATTGTCCCCTCTAGTCAGTTCATATGCCAACTCTGTAGAGCACCTTCACTAAATATGGTGTTCCCTGCCTTACCACCTAGTCTTCTCCCCAAAATTGTGTCTTTCAGTGCTTTCTCCGCTTTGCCCATGCCTTCTCCTAAGTAGTATCTCACTATGTTGTTGATTATGTTTTTCCTGATGAGATTGTGAGCCCACTAAGGGCGGCTGTATCACTTAGTTTTCCTTGTAACTTCTTAACAACATAGCAGCTTTTTTATAAATATTTGTTGATTTGTTACTTCTTGTGTGGTAAATTCAGAATAACAGTGATTGCAGAGGTGGAAGATTTTTCATATCCTGCTTAGTCTACTAATCTTTTTAGAAAGATCTTTCTTTTCTTGCCCCATCTGGGTCTTAGGGACATTCTGCACAGAGAACCATATTTATCTGCCATAACTATAGTGGAAATTCTTGAAATTAGAAAGTAGAGGTTGTGTTTGAAGAAAACCAACATTGCACTTTTTAACTATTACTGGCAACAGTTCTCAAACTTTTTGCTTTCAGGACCCCTTTATATTCTTAAATTATCGAGGACCCAAGAGAGCTTTTGTTTATGGGATTCATTTCAACTAATATTTATCATATTAGAAATTTAAACTGAGAAAAAGTTTAAAACAAGAGTTACACAAGGATGCATTCCATGTATGTAGGCTCTGGACAACTCCACTGTACACTTATGAGATAATGATACCAAAAACCAGATAACATTTAGTATTATGAAAATGGTCTTTACCTCATGTGCCTCCTGAATGGGTCATGGGGAGCCCTGGCATCCTTGGACCACCCTTTGAGAACTGCTATATTATGGAAATTCACTTGTCTAATTGCAAACAGAATCTTCTGTATTTTTATTCCAGTAATATTTACCTAGCTTTTGTGTTTGTAGATTAATGTTTTTTTTTTTTAAATAACTGCATGGCATATCATATTACCCACTTTTCTATTAATGTCTAGACCTAGAATGTGCTGGAACTTATTGCCAGTGTTGACTTGGCAGCTGTAAGACAGAGATGCTTACTCAAGGAGAAGTCATTTTATTTGTGGATACTCAGTAAGGTCATTCCTAGTCGTGCCCTGTCAGTAACCCTGGCTTTCAAGTTCTTGTCCTTTTTATGATTTGTGAACCTTCAAATACTTCTCCTGTGGTGATTCTCCTAACTCCAGAAGTTTCAAAGATTTGGTCATTTAAAAAAATAATTTTACAAAATGAAGTTGACGTCTTATTTTGCAGGATTGATTAGGCTTCCCCTCAAGTCTTCCCTTCTCTCCTTTGCGTGACCTTCCCCTCCACTTGCCTCAACCTGATCCCTGATGCTGGCGCTCCTTTTCTGAGAGTACAGTCTGCTCTCTGGCAGATATTTACTTGGCCTTGATGACTCCTGTTCTGTTTTATTCCCTACCCTCTTACCTTGGCTGATACTCTGCTAAATTCTTTCTGAGGTCTTAGCGGGACAGCCAGTCTCTAGAGTATTTGACGACTCCCTTCAAATTACATTGGTACTGGGTCTTCCCGGCGGTTTCTGGGAATGCGTTGTGTACCTTTCAGCTGGATGGGAATACCAAGATGGTTGCTAGTTCCGACACTTGATTTACTGACAGCTTCATATTCTTTTTACTCATAGTCTTTTTATTGTGTGATGAGGTCATGCAAGCTGGAATTTGGGGACTTGATATCATTATGAGTGATCATCCAAAAACATGATGCCGATAGAATGTTGGGGTAGTTTTTATTTTTTAATTCCATGTCCTAAACATAGTCAGCAGTCAGTAAATGTTTGCTGAGTTAATTTTTTTCTCGTTTGTGTTGAATAAAACTCTTAGCTGTAAGAACTACATTATAATTTAAGTCAGACATCTCTCCCCTATAGCCAAGGGAAATACACACCCTCACACTATCCAAAAAGGTACATGTTGCTGTCTTAGTAAGCAAAACCCTTACCTAATACTTAATGTACAAAATTCAGATTTCAAACAGGATCTGATACTGACTCTTTGAAGCACCTTGATAAGAATTACTACTTCCATGAAACTTTGTAGAAATCATTTTTTAGCACAGTGTTTATCAAACCTAGGCTTGAGATAACAGTAATTATTTTTTATCATTTTTATCTTTGATTTAATAAAGTTGCTATGAAATAATACCCTATCTTATAGCACTATTTATGTTAAACAAATTGCTTTCTAAATATTCAAAGCAGCCTTCATTGTTTTCAGAGCTGCCTTTTTCTTCAACTCTCCTGCCTCTGCCTTGTTTTAACCATGGTCATGCACTAACTGATCTATAGTTTCTTCTCCCTTCCAAGCTATCAACAACTCCATAGATTGTTTTTGTTTTTTAATACGCTTTTCATAATACCACTGCTTGTAAGGAAACCCACCAGATAAAGTCCTGCTTCTTGGCATGGCCTAGATTCAAAGTCCTTGGTCCCAGTTGCATTTCCAGCCTAATCTCCAGTTCCATTGGACTACCATGCTTCCTGTGTCACACTCAGCTCTTCCTTGACTTTGAGTGCTATTTCTGGACCCTAGAATGGCTGCCATTCTCTTCTGCTTGGCTAGCCCTTACTCATTTTTTAACCATCACTGACCGCCACCTGCACATGCACATATGAACTAAAAACCTAGTTACATCCTGTCTGTGTTCCTGGAGCACTTTTTACATATTTCGGACATTGCATTTAGTACAGTATATACTCTCTCTCTCCTTTGGCACAGAAACTAAGGAAGAAAATCAGCGGCACTGTGCACCCTCGTACGTTGTCTACTCACTAGGTATTATTACTCTGTCCCTTTCCCATACTGTTTAGGAAGGCATATCTGAATCTAAGTGAGTGAAAGTGTGGTTGTTACCCAAGTTACCTTGAATTTATTTAGTCTGATTTTTTTTTAAGGCAATAATTTGCAACCTCTTACACCTTATTAAATTCTGTACTTACGCTAAATACTCTTTAGAACTAATCATGACATACCTCATATCTGATGATGACAAATCAGCATGTTACAGATGGACACACACTGCTTTTAGGATATACTGCATTTTAAGCATTACAGCTGTTTGTTCCAACGAATTATTTATTTCTTGAGAGCCAGGGCTGTTTTATTCATCTTTTTTCTTTTGTTGTTCTAGAGTAATGATTTAAAAACTTTCCTACTCTAACTACTAAATTAAATTTGGAGAGCATTTCCAGGGACTCAAATACCCTCTACTGGCATTAGTACTTTCCCTTTTGGCCATTGCACTGTTGATGCTAAAACATAAAATGTCGTGCTGATTTTTTTATAACAAGACTGAGATTACTTTACCTTGTCTTACTTGTGTCATTTTCACTATTCGAATGATATTTTTTTCCCCCTTAAGAATGTATTCATCGTATTGGGAATAAGAAATTTGGTAAACATGCTGTGATGTAATTTTCGTTACCTGTAATTTTAGTACACTATATGCATTATGCACGAGTTTGTGACTTAACCAACTAAAACCATATATTTTTTTAATGAAAATTCTAGAAATAAATGTTGATGGAAATGTTTTTTAGCCTTAACCTATCACTGTGCTGCAAATCTAAAAGATACAAATAGAGCTTTAAGTTTTACATTCACTACCCTGAAATATAGTCAAGAAAGAATTCGACCTGAATTCTTTAATAAGCACAATGGAAGGGTTGTTTACTTTTGAGAACTAATAGCTGCCCCATTCTTTGTGATTGTCTGCTTACATGATTTGTTATGAAAGAATGCTTCTAGGTAAACCCTGTCTCCAGAATGCTGGTGGTTTGTTCTGTTCTGCTTGGGAAGGGTTAAGAAGAGACAACATCCTGTCAAAGACCTTGTTTTTAATTTTGCTTCTCACACTGGCACAGATCCTGCTAAGAGCAGCCCAGATTAGTTCGGAAAACCTTTGAAGAGATTTAAGATGTCCTTCAGCCAGTTTGAAGGTTTTTGTCTTGCAAATCCAGTACAAGGGCGCCTGCAGGCATCTCGACCCTTGCTGTGCTGCTGATGCAGCTCAAGGTCACAATAACCCGCCCTGTGACATTCAACAACAACAAAAATTATGCGGTAAAACTGCTTCAGCGTTCAGCCAACCAACAACTTCCTTTAGTGAGGAACTGAGGAAGAAGTCTTTTTTACCCCCCTTTTTCTTTTTTGGGGGGCTCTGTGAATTTTTGCTGTAGGAAATAATCCCGGATTTCTGGTGTGTGTGATGACAAGGTCATTTCTTAATTAGAACACATGTAAAGAACAAAGCTAAATGGCTTCAAAACAGCTTTGTAGTTGATGGAGAGGATTTAAATTATTTAAAGAGATAGTCACCCATGTATGATGGAAGCTGAATTCTAAAGGCATTAACTCCTTCATTCCTATCTACTTCTTGTCATTGCTTTGAATTCCTCGTGTCTGACTTTAGAGTTGCATTCTAAACTTAAGAGAAATTATAAATGCCCAATGTTAAAAGGATGAAATGTAATTTATAAATCAGATTCTCAGATAAACTTTTAATGGAGAAGTTTTCTCCCCATGACATCTATCTCCTGGAAACATTATCAAATGGCTTGACTTAGGAACTAGAAATTACACACTTTTCCCCTGGCAACTGTGATTTATTTATAATGCGTTGGAGGTGGGTGAGTAAAGTGCTTCTTTATTGTCTCACCTTATCTCTTCCTCAATTTTATCCATTTGTGATTTAGAAGTCTAGTTGAGCAGTTACCCCTGCCTCTTAGAAATAACAGCACATAATCATTCAAAAAGTAATCTTAGTTAAAAACGGACTTTCAAGAAAGTTGTTTCCGAACATACATGACATTTTAAGGCACAATGAAACCATGTCCATGAACACTCAGTAGCCATACTGGATCTGCTCCCCTTCGTGAGGCTTGTTTCCCCATGTTCCTCCTTCGCTGTCTGCGAATGTTAACTACCAAATAAATTAGTTGGACAAAGTCCAAGTGCACTGGCTTTCTGTGCTTGAGACTTAATATGTATCACCTCTGCAGGATTGGAGCAGAACAATCTAAGAGAGTAATTTTGTGCTTGGTATTTTCTTTATGTGTATTATATATAGAAGCACACATGGCCGTTATTTTTTTATCCACAAAGTGACACTGTGTAGAGAAAGTTACCTTCAACTTTATGATATTAGCAAAACCATTTTCTCAGAATTCATACTCAGTTGGTTTTTTGACTGAAGTAGAATCAGGACAAGTACTTTAAAAGATGGGTAGTATTTTAAGTGTGATTATTTAAACTGATATTTGGGAATTTGTGGGCCACACTTAAAAGGATAACATGATGGACAGTGTAAGAACAAGTTCGAATGAACGAGACTTACTAAAGGATTTTTTTCCTTGAGAAACAATTTTTGGGGTCCATGAAATGAAAGGGCATAGATATTAAGATACATATTTTTAGGTATAGGTATTTTAAAGATTTCAGCTTTGCAAAAAGAAAATATTGGGGGGAAAATCTGTATGTGAGGAATGGTTAGTGTGATTCATTGTGTCCTGCCCTTGCCTGGAGTCTGGTGTGCCCTAAATGTCATTTATGACCCAAGCTCACCTGCTAGTAATTTCGAATTTACTGTCCTAATTCATCGATTTGTTATCACTAATTGTTCTTCATTTACTTCTGTGTAGTTTCCAGTACCTAAAGGGTTGAAAGGTTGCTGTAATTGGCACCCGCAGCTGCTCTTTCTTTTGACAGGGGATAATTTTGCAGCCTATGCTTTGTGTGACAGCTGCCTAATTGGGCATTCTCCCCTTGTAGCAAGCCTGCCTCCTCCAGCCTCCCTGCTGACAAATGGTGGTGGATTATAGATGAGGACACGCTGACCCATTCGACCTTGCTGAGACAGCGGGGAGGGGCCTCCTGCTACTTGAGGGAAGCTTTAGGTCATTTAGAGGACAAGGTTATGAGCCAGGTGGAGAAATGACATGATATCACATGACAGTAGCCTGATGACATGGTCAGTGTGTCAAGGACAAATGCATTAGTATCGAATAAACATTATTACAATACTTTATTGAGTCCCTAGTATTTCTTAATTGTTCTTACTGAATTTTTTTTTAAGAAACCGAAAAAGTGCAAAATAAGACACATGTATCTTAGCAGTGTTAAAGCAATTGTATACATGAAGATAGAACTGGCTTAGGATGCCTCCTAATAAGTTTCTTTAGTTATTTAGAGTATTTTGTTCTTAATTATTGCTTAGTTTGCAGTCTCTTAACTATCAATACTTTTCAATAGTTATTTGAAAATTAAAGCAGGCAAATTAAAATGTGGCAATATGTGTTGTTAAAAAATATTTAACAACTTCTGTCATTCCCCTACTCAATGATTGACATACCTTTTCATATTTTGGATAAAAGAAAAATAAGCCAAGTGAAAATGTCTAATTGAAAAGAACATCAAAACTCTAGATTTATAAGATCAACTATACCACTGTGATTATAAAGTGTTAAAGGTGCTTTTTAAATAATTTTTGAGACTTGAAAATATTTTTCAAATAGCTTGGGATTATACATAATGTAAAAACTTCAAGATACATGAAAATCTTTTGGATGTCTTATTACTGGCAATGCATATGCTTTTCTTGAGAAAGTAGACTTGAACTATTAAAATATATTTTAAAGTGTAAACTCTTAAGAATCCATGCTGAGTCTATTAACCCTATATTAATACCTGAAATGATAAATTCATGTAAAAAAATAGTACAATTAAGAAAAATGCCTAGTTTTAAAATCGGCAGACAGTTGAATACAAAGAGGACTGATCATGGTTCTCATTTCTGGAAAAACAATTGTTAGGCACTGTTTGGATCTAAGCCCTCAGTTCAACAGGAGGTAATTTTATGCCCCTGAGATAAAAAAAAAATGAGGCATGGTAAAGTGTGATGAATTAGTTCACTGAAGTAGACACATCTGTATTTTCATGGCACGTGTGTATGCACGCTTGTGTGTGTGTGTGTGTGTGTGTGTGTGTGTGTTTAATTTTGACCATGCTGTGCATGTGTTTAGCTGCTCTCAAACCCTGACTCAAGCTTGGTGGAGGTTTAATCCTGTGCCCTTGTACACGTATACTTGATTAGTAGTTGTGGTTATCTCAGCAGAAGACATACCGCCCTCCTCCTTGTATTGGTCAGGACCCGGGCATTGGGGAGTCAAGGCAAAGGAGAAAGAAAAAAGATTTTACATTAGTATTCTATGAAAGCCTTACTGCCTGCAGAACAAATTGATTGCTCCAGTGTACCTGTGCTTGGCACCACTGCTGTGAAAGAAAGGTAGGGCTGTAATCTGTTTTATTGTATTACATATTGTGACACTCCAGGAATATTTAACATGCACTCTTTCTATGGCACGTGCTATAAGTCTAAGTAAAGAAAAAGGAAATAAATGAATGGAGAGTGTGTGACAGCAGTGGGCTACAGCTTTGTTTACTTCAGTCCAAGAGAGTTCATTCGAATAAGATAATTTTGCTGCAAGTGTCACTGGGAACAAAACCTGATTGATAATGAAACCCTTATAAAGTGTTCTCAGACACTAATCTGCTTCCCTGCTTGAAACATGTCAGGCGGAGATGAAATTCAAGCTAATACTGTAAGATTTTAATCATCAGATGGGAGCAGTCATGGAGGTGGTTATGGACATAGTTTAGAAAATTATTTTAAATTATGCTTCAGTACATTATATTCTTATAGGTCCTACATAACATGGTGCAGAGGATAGGGAAGAGATTTTTATTAAAAAAAGAAAAGAGGGGGCCACTATACCACTTTAAACTATATTAAGGGAATTAAGAAATGTATTGTGTACTTTATTCTTTTGCTAGTTTGATTTGCATAAACACCATATGATTCTGTTGTAGAAAAGGCTATGCACATTTCTTATAGTTTTTTCTTTTAATTCTGTGAATGTTATTCAGATAGAGACTTGTGTACAATTTGGGATATTTGGAATTACTTAATAGGAAGGGAGTAAATGCTTTAACATTTCATAAAGTGATTGGAGTTAGACCCCTGGGCATTTTTAGGCATTCTTGACATGTGGTCATAGCTGTACTTTTTAAGTTGCATATACATCTGTACTGTGAGGGGAGAAAAGGAATTTCTCTTGTCCAAGCCTCTTGCCACATGTGAACTGCAGGTGCCCTTATCCCTCCTCTGTCCCCATCCTGGTCCTTCGATTACAGTCAGAACACTTGATTTAGGAGAGAGAGGAAGCAAAATGTCTCATACTAATACACTGATGAAATGAAAGTTGTTTTCTATTGTTTACTCTTGTATTCTTGAAACGAGTGGATAGCTTTACATTTTTTAGATTACATTTCACTTCCGTTTAAATGTGTTAATAACTGTTCTGTGTATAGTAATTATGTGTCCTGAAGACATTCCGATACAGATCTGTATAATCAGAGGCTATAGACTTTGGTCTAGACTGGCTTGCAGATACTTTTATAGAAAATGAGCAAGTGAAGAAGCATTTTTAAGTACCTGTCAATAATAAACATATCACTCTCTGACATAAAACATTGATTAAAATGAACTATTTGAGGTCATGTTATCTATAAAGGGGATGTTTTCAAAGAACTTTTAAACTCCCTCACAAAATTAAGACTATTAAATTTATTTTCAATGGGATATAGCCATCAAAATTATTTATACTGTATTTTTATACACCCAGTTTTTTGAGTTTTTCTCTTATTGAAAAAACATATCAGAAAATGTAAAAACTAAGCTATAGAACAAAAAATTCAAATATTTCATTTTTCAGAATAAAACATGTTCTTGAACTCTTTTTACTTACAGTTTTTAATTTTGTAATTACAAATTTTGAAGATTTTAGAATCTTTCACTTTCTCAAAAGAACCACATGGTATACAAATGGTTAATACTTAGCCAAGTAAGATGGGGAAGTTAAAAGAGGATACCAAGTAGAAAATATTGGTATTTTCCTTCTTTTTCTTTCTTATTTATTTATTTAGGTGGAGTGTAAGAACGTTTTAACAGGAAAGGACTATATTTTGTTTACCAAAGTATCCACAATGCTTACCACTGTACCTGGCTCATAACAACTGCCTAATAAATATTTGTTGAACACATGAGTAAGGAATACTCAATCACCCTCCCTTCCTACCCACCCTGATACATTCCTTTCGTCTCTCTTGGCTATTTATGGTTTCAGTTTGTGCAGAGCTCATGGTAGTGAATTTTTACATCAGTTGCTCTTCTGAAAGTATTCTAGGTATTGAAGGAACAGGAATTCAGTGTTTTAGAACCAGCCTCTGAATTGTGTTTATGGAATTGTTTCCCAGTCAGAGTAGTTCAAGTGACTGAGTCTTAAAGTGTACTGCTTCCAAATGTGTGCTTAGGGTTCTTCTTCACCTCAAAGTGCCTCTATTCTTTTCCCTCATATGCTGATCTACTGTGTTGCTGAATTTTGTTAAGCTGTGAAATATAATTCTTAGAGTTTCATCATGTCAGTTTTGGTGCATTATGCTTATTAACCAATATCAACAAATTATTTTAAACATCCTAGAAAATTACCTGTTAATTTTAGTCAGATATATCTAAGTACATTGAACTATAGAGAAAACAAACATTTGACATGTTGTTATTATTAATTTAAGCCATGAAATGGAAGACATTCATGAGAACAACTTTATGTGGGTAAAACTTCCCTAAGCTCAGTAAATGAGCATGCAGTATTATTGGGTATCCAGTGTTAGCTAGGCGTGGACTGGAGTTCTTGAGTAGTAGGAACCTTAGGAATTAGTATAAAGAGTTCATTTAACTGATGAGAACACTGGGCTTTAGGCAAGTTCCTACTTATCCACTGTTATAAACCTGCTTAGGACCTGAGCCAGGGCTAAAACACAAATCATCTGGCTTTTTAAAAAGTGATTTTTTTTTTTATCAATTCTTTGTTCAGTTTTATGCTTCTGAAATAACAATTATGTTTATATTAGCCAAATTTTATACCTGTAGCCACAGTAAATTTTATAACCAAATAGAACATAAATCAAAGCAAACACACACACACACACACACTCACACACACACAATTGTCAGTTGCCAATTGCTCACTATGGTTGTAGACTCAGTAGACTTTTATGCAAAGAATGGGTAACAACATATTTAGTATTATAAAGAAACATTAAAAATTGAGAAGAAAATTTCACTTAAAATTACAGTGGCCAGGCACAGTGGCTCACCCCTGTAACCCCAGCAGTTTGGGAGGCCGAGGTAGGAGGATTACTTGAGCCAAGGAGTTCAAGACCAGTCTGGGCAGCACAGTAAGACCCTAACTCTACTAAAAATTAAAAAAAATAACCAGCTACTTTGGAGGCTGAGGCAGGAGTATTTCTTGAGCCTAAGAAATCTAGGTTGCGGTGAGCTGTGATTGAATCACTGCACTCCAGCCTGGACAACAGAGCAAGAACCCATCTCTCTCTCTTTCTGAGAGTCCATACTGGAATAAGTTTGTGAATACAGGTGACCCTTAAACAATGTGGGGATTAGGAGTGCCAGCCCCTGCACAGTTAAAAAATTTGCATATGACTTTTGACTTCCTCAAAACTTAACTAATAGCTACTGATGACCAGAAGCCTCACTGATAACATTAAAATGGTTGATCAACATGTATTTTGTATGTTATGTGTATTATATGCTGTATTCTTATAGTAAAATTAGCTAGAGGAAAGAAAATGTTACGAAGAAAATCACAAGAAAGAGAAAATATATTTACTCATCACTAAGTGGAAATAATCATAATAAAGATTTCATCCTCATCATCTTCACATTAAGTAGGCTAAGGAGCTGGTCTTGCTGTCTCAGGATTGTCAGAGGTGGGAGAAAATCTGCTTATAAGTGGACCTACACAGTTCAAGCCAGTGTTCAAGAGTCAACTGTAGCAGAGTCACAAATACATTATATAGTCTGTTGATATTTGATATCTGTGACAGTGTTTTCTTTAATAGGGTAGTCATGGCTTTGCAGAAAAAGGCAGCCAGTTGAGACTCTTGTCATGTGGGGACCACCAAGGGACAATGCTTGCCTCCTTCAGCGATAATTAAATCCTGACTTACCACAATTCAAGAAATATTCTATCAGATTATTCATGGTTAGATTAGACTCCTGAGGGTGGAGCTGAGGTTTGCACATAGGTCCCAGCAGTACATGTCAGATGAATATTCAAGGTAAAGACTGAGAAGATCCATCCAAAAATCACATGCCTAGTTCAAAGTGCTGACAGACTTAGCTATAGGTAAGTCAGGCCTTCATCCACATGGGCTGAGATTCATGACTTGGTTTCATTTTCAAGAGAAATGAACAAGGAACTAGAGACATGGTCAGAAAGCCAGTTGACCAAACACAAAGATACTGGAGAAACTACTAGATGGTAGCAGTGTGGTTTGGAGACGTGGCTGTCTTATGCTCAAAATTAAGTTTATAAGCTTACAAGTCATAGGGATGGTGGCCACACTGTTTCTAACCCTTTCCATCTGATTACTGGAAAACAAATCTCCAGTCCTGATTCTTTAGTTCAGCAGTTGGGCAAAGTTTACAAGCAAATTATTTCACCTCTTTACACCGCAGTTTCCCCATCTGCAAAATGGGGATTATTATAGTATCTTCCTCTTAAGTTATGAGGATAAAATGAGAGGACAAATGTATAATACCTGGAGTATATACAATTTATGTGTGTGTGTGTGTGTATAAATTCAAGGATAATGTAAATAACATATATAATGATTATTTTTGTGGGTTTTTGTATGTCTGTATGTAAGATGGCCATGTCCTTTACTGACGTATTTTTTTTTTTTATCCTGCTGTTAGTAACAGATGACTTGACTAGGTAACCTTAATATGGAATCTGTATCCAACCATTTATTTCTATTTTTTACCTATTGTTTTATTCTCAAATTTTAACCTAGATAATGGACTGTAACTTTAGTCATATTTTTCCCTCTCCCAAAGTAGAATTCTTTGTCACGATCAGTTAAGCGATTTTTATTTGTACTGACTTTATTAAAATATGTATCAAAAACTGTACATAATTGTCAGTGATCACCTTTCCACTTAATAGTGTAAAACGTCTGAAGGAGTCATGAATTTCAGTTTAGAATTATCATAAGTGATTTAGAAAATGAGAGTCAAGAGCAGATAAGGTAAAATTTAATTTGTTTAAATCTCAACTAAACCTTTTATCTTTCTTTAAATATCACTGATAGTTTCCTGGCTTTTTTTTTTCTTATTTTAATCATAACATTTTTTTGGCAATT